GTCTTACCGCTTAGGTTGCCCCACTTTTTCTTTTTCTTTTTTTTTTTTTTTAAAGATTTTATTTATTTATTTGACAGAGAGACACAGCGAGAGAGGGAACACAAGCAGGGGGAGTGGGAGAGGGAGAAGCAGGCTTCCCGCGGAGCAGGGAGCCCGATGCGGGGCTCAATCCCAGGACCCTGGGATCACGACCTGAGCCGAAGGCAGACGCTTAACGACTGAGCCACCCAGGCGCCCGCCCCACTTTTTCTGTAAATGACCAGTGGTTCTGAGTTGTGCCTAAGAAACCCTGGGGAGTTGGTTTGCGGATCCTGGGCCCACCTGGAGGGGTTTTGATTCCGCGGACTGAGAGGTGGGTGGACCGGAGTGACTGCCGAGGACATGGGCCGCTCTTCCCGTTCCGGACGACCCCGCCCTGTGATGGCACACATGTGTCCCGTTGCCCTGTCCACTGCGTGTGCCCCGTGTTCTCCTGTGCCTTCTGCTGCGGCATCCACCTGCCCCCCTCTTGTGCTCGGCCTCAGGTGTCCGGGGTAGATAGTACCCACGCTGGGCCGTGAGAACCTACTTATTTTCTGTTATCGAGCTTTTTTTTTTTTTTTTTAACATTAATAACAGTGGCATTGTTCCTCAGAACACTGAGGGCGGGATGATCCAGCAGTTCTGTTTCTGGGGATATATCAAAGAGTCAAAAGCAGAGACCCAGATATGTATTTGCACATATTAGCTACGTGTGGTGGTTTCCTTTTTTTTTTTTTAAGATATTTATTTGAGAGAGAGAGCGAGAAAGCACGCATGAGCAGGGGAAGGACAGAGGGAGAGGGAGAAGCAGGCTTCCCGCGGAGCAGGGAGCCCGATGCGGGGCTCAGTCCCAGGACCCTGGGACCATGACCTGAGCCGAAGGCAGATGCTTCACTGATGAGCCGCCTGGTGCCCCACGTGGTTTCTTCCTTGAGATGCGTTCCTGGAAGAGCAGTTGCCGTTTGGCAGGTGCGGACTCCCCTCTTGGTTACGTGTCTTATCTTGTCCGTGGCCAGGGCCTCCTTGGGGCAGTGGGGGCAGGACAGCCAGGCCACGGGAGCCACAACAGCAGACCAGGAAGCTGTCCTGGCTTTCCTCCCCAAGGAGCTGATCGGCAGGGACCTCGGGATGCGCGGGTCACGCGCGCTGTTGTCTCTGCTGCCCCAGACGCCTCCCTGATGCACCTCAGCCGCGCCCCAGGGGACCTGGTTAACGTTTGGGTCCTTCAGTGTCCGGTTACTGCCCACGTCCTGTCCTTAGGGCGTGTTTTCACGTAAACCGAGCGTGCTGGGGCTGCTTCCTGACAGGTCACCGTCCATAGCTAGGACCCTTCCTCCTGGTTCTCCCCTTTTCTGGCTTTATTTATTTTTTAAATATTTATTTATTTGAGAGAGAGAGAGAGTGCGCGTGCGCACACCCATGCGAGCAGGAGCAGGGGCAGAGGGAGAGAGACTCTCAAGCAGGCTCTGCAGCTGAGATCATGACCTGAGCCGAAATCAAGAGTTGGGCACTTAACCGACTGACGCACCCAGGTGCCCCTTTTCTGGCTTTAGTGTCCACACACTGCACCACCCACCTGTCTCTCCTTTTTCTCACACAGAACATTCCGGAACCATTGCCCTAAATGCACTGTTTCTAACTAAATTCTCACACATATCAGTCCCCCAACAGAACGTGTTTTCTCTTTGATCAGCGCTGCAGAACTGAGGGTGTGCAGAATCCCAGGCAGTTTAACGTAGTGATTACTTATTTCGAGTCGGACCTCGTATTCCTCCTTTACACAGTGAGACGTCACACCCCGCGGTCTCTGTCACTCGCGTCCTGCCCCTGTCGAGTTACGTGGGTCGGCGCGTGTACCTTACAAACCGGGGGTAAAGGCTCCCGTCTCCTCCTGTGCCCGCGTGCGCTTAGTGAGTGGGCAGGGTGGTCGGGCAGCCGCGCTGCAGTAGGCCTGGGTCCTCGGGGTTTGGACCTAACGCCAGAGGAGCCCCGTCGAGCCGGCGAGTCAGCTTGCAGGTGTCTGGACGGTGACCGAACCCGCGCCGTCTCCTTCCCTGAAAGATGTCCCACCTTTTCTCCGTCTCTGAGGGGAGAATGAGCCGGTGGGTGGAGAGTCCTGAGTGTGGCCCGCTGGTTTTCTGTGCTTCGAGCTGTTCGGGGAAGCGGAGCCCGAGTGCTGGCGGGAGTGACCGGTCAGGGCCGCAGGTGTGGGGCCCCGCGGGCCACCGAGGAAGGGCTGTGCTGTGGTGACGTGCCCGCGGCAGCTGCGGGCCGGCTGAGGCGGGGCGGGGGCGGGCGCCGTGCCACGCGGCCTCCTCTTCTGGAATCGGGCACGTGGGGGAGGCAGGCCCTGCAGCCCGCGTCCCGGCTCTGCGAGGAGGGGGTGGCTCATCTGAATGGTGGCGCCTGGGATTCGGGGGCTGGGACCGTGGCCAAGGACCAGCCCGCTGGAGGGCCTGCCGAGGCGCGTCAGCCAGAGCCGTGGGCTGTGTGCTGTGGTTTGTGCGGGGGACGCCCGCCCTCCCGGCCGGTCCGGGAGGGGCAGCACGGCTCTGGTGACCTAGGCTGCGGACGTGCTGCCCCCCGGCGAGTGGAGCATGCTTGCGTGGCCAGTGCTCTCGCTGGGGGAGGGGGGGGAAGTCGGTTTGCTGCTCGTCCGTTCGAACGTGGAGCCAGCCCCGTGATGGCCCCCAGAAGTCGCACTGCGCTTGCGCGCTTGACGGCCTCTGTCTGAGCGTTTGTGCTGAAGGAGCGGAGGCCCGGCCCGGCCCTGAGTGTGTGCGTGCGTGGGCGGGCGCGGCCCCGGTGCGCTGGCCGGGGTGGGGGTCCCAGGGGGTGCGGGGGCCCCGCCGTCCGTGGGGTGGAGTGTCTCACGGTGCGTTTCGAGTTTGCTTTTCTCCTGATTTGAAACGTTCCAATTTTCCCTCATTATGAAATTGTTTGATTTCGAATTATCTTCACTTCAGAGGAGATTGGAGAGCCCGGCGGAAAGCGAGTCTGCCTGCGCGTGTGTCTGACTTCTAGCTTTTGGGGGCTGATTTGGACCTCCGGGCACGAAGCTTGTTTCTGAATTGGCGTCACGTGCTCCTGACTCTGCCGATTGGCCTCCCGATTTCTGGAAGGCTTCTACTTGGAGGGAACTGTAGGTCACCTGCCCTCGGTGAGAGCTGCCGCCTCGGTCGCTGAGAACCCCTAGAGACTCAGTGGCCACCTGCTGATGGGTCCTCTCCCTGGGCCCTTCCCTCCGCTCAGGTCTGAGCAGATAGAGCCGGGCCGGAAGATGCGGCACCCACCTGCCTCCCCCACGAAGCGAGGTCCGGGGCGGGGCAGATGTGGATGTGCGGGCCGTCTGGTAGATTTGTTTTCATTAAACTCATCCCACGGACTTAGTAACCGTTTGGGTACCCCTCTGACTGACACAGAGAAACAACAACTTGAATATCTCTAGAATGTTTCGGAAAAAAATATTTCTTGGCTTGAGAAGATTTCTTTACTTTTATGCCCATATGTTTAACTCCCCGAGGTTGAAAAGCTTGAGGAAGCTTCCAGGAAGAATGGGACCTGGCATTCAAAGCTGGCTCAAGCCCTTCTGTTGCTGGATTTCAGGCTTGCACAGGGTCCTTACAGACAGTCATCTGGTCTGGGGAGGAGCGCGGGGAGAAATCTCTCCTGTGCCCAGTGGTTCCTGTAGGCCCAGGGAGGGGCTGTTGCTCAGGTGGCCGGGAGGGATGTTTGTGAGGGCATCTGCGAGGGGGAGAGCCGGGGGGCACCTGGGGGAGCACCTGCGGGAAGCACGTGCGGGAAGGGTGTGGACTGTAGAGGCCCAGGTGTGTGAGCATTTGGGGCGTGCGGGGCTTCAGATGGACTGCTGGTGCGTCACAGGTGCTGGGAGCTCCTGTTCAAGTGACGACGGACACCGAGAGACTCCGTGGCGAATGCAGAGGGGGGCAGGCGGGACGGGGAGTGGCCTGGGGGCATGATGGGAGGTTCCCTCTTCCAGGGAGCGCGGATTGTCCTGAGACCTCTTGAGGAAGAGCGCCGCGAGCACAGGGTGAACTAGCGCAGAGCTCGGGGGCGCTGCGGTGACATGTCTGTGTCCGGAGGCAAGGCTGTGGGAGGCGGAGCCCCTGGGGCCTGTTCCTGTGGCGGATGCTCCCTGAAGCCGGGCACTGTGGTGCCGCTGGAGGCCGGGGAGAGGGCCTGCGGACCCCGTGGTGACCGTAGCCAGTCCTGTGGCTTTGCGGCAGACTCTCTCCACCGGAGGCGTGTCTTGAGGGTGTAGCTTTGTCACAACCCCCGTGGCTCCCTCAGTGATGGAGGAGGCTGCGCCCCGTGCTTGGCCCCTAGGCCTCGAGCTCGGCTGCCACCTGCAGGCCAGGGAGCCCCTTAGCTTGCATGCCACGCGCCGTGTGGGGACCGTGCCCGCCGCGCCGGGTGTCGAAGTCTGTCGCCGGTGTTGTTGGTGCGGGTACTAAGGGGTCAGACGAGGTCAGCGCTGCTCAGGGGTGCATCGGGAGCCGCCGTGGACACCTGGGGCCTCTGTTTCCTCCTCTGTGAGGTGATGACAGTGGCCACAGGGACGCGAGCCGAGGGGGGCAGTGTGGAGGGGTGTGAACACGACAGAGCAGCGTCCGTGGGGGGCCTGCTGTGGCTTCTCTTCCTATTGCCGGCTCCAGGGAGACGGGCACCCTCCACCTCACCTCCCCTGCCCTGCGGGCCGACAGCGGCGGCTAGCTGTTGACCTGTTCTTACAGCTGAAACGAGCTTGGGTCAAGTAAACATAATGTACCTGATACCACGTAGCCAGGGGCGGGCTGCGGTTCAAACCCAGGTCGCGGTGCGTGCTTGGCGCGTGGGACGCGACCCGTCCCGGGTCTGTGACTCATGGGCGGCTGGCGTGGTCTTGGCGGCCGTCCGGGGGCGGAATGAGGTCCCCCCCAGGGAGTGGCTGCCGCTGACACGTGTTCTTGATCCCACAGGACCCCGGAAGACCTTTCCAGGTTCATTGTTGACCTGCAGCAGCGAGAGGTGGTCTTGCAGGACCGGAACAACACCATCACCAGCAGGTAGGCCTGGCGGCCCGGGTGTGCGCGGGATGCGTCTGCTTTGGAAAGGAGCCCAGAGCGTGTGTGTCCCCTGGGCGTGGCTCAGGAGTGGCTCTGCTTCACTGTCCCTTGGCCTCGGCCTGAGTGGGAGGGGTCGGTCCGGAGGGTGCAGGGTGCCCCACCTTTCTGCCCTGTGACCGTGACTGCCGAGGCGGCATGGTGCTGTCATCCCTGCCACGTGCCAGGCCACCTCTGCCTTCCTGGTGCTTGGGGGCCACGAGAAGGACATGCGCCTGGATTGGGGAACCCTGTCTTTGCTGTAGCGTGGGCTCCCAGTGACCCCCTGATGGTGTGGAACCCGGCGCCCAGGGGGCAGCGTGTGCGTGTCTGTGTGCTCAGGAAGGTCCCCACAGAGGAACAGAGATCGGGAAGACCTCGCCCAGGCTGCACAGTGAGGAAGGAGCCCAGGAAGCCGGCAGCTGTGTGCCTTCTTGCCCTCTCGGTGTTAGGTCTTTCCTCCCAACCCCGTGAGGCCAGCGGTGCTCTGTCGTCTCGCTCTGTCCTGACAGGACGCCACAGGGGAAGCGCTTGGTCCCACAAGCTGCCCCCATTCCACACCTCGGTCGCGAGTCCTGGCTCCCCAGGCTCCCTGTGCTTTGGCCCTGGTTGTCCCCCCACCCGTTTGCGGATTTGCTAGAATGACTCAGAATTCAGGAAAATGCTTTATGTGCAATCAGCAGTTTACGGCCAAGGTTGCAATCAGAGCAGCCAGATGGAGGAGATGCCTGACGGGAGGGCTGGGGGCGAGAGCTTCCCTGTCCCCTCTGGGTGCACCCCCGCTCCCAGCACCTAGGTGTGTTGCCCAACTCAGAAGCTCTCTGAGCCCTGCTCTGGGGGTTTTAGGGAGTTTCCGTGCTTGATTAAGTTGTTGGCTGCTGGGGAAGAGCTCAGGCCCCCACCCCCACGGTGGGGGGGTGGACCTGGAGGTGGTTGATTGCTCTGGCCCCGCCTGCAGTCCCCTCATTAGCTCAAACGGACTGTGGTTGACAGGGGCTTGTTAGGAGTCAGGCACTGCCCCTCTCACCTCAGAAACCCCAGGGGTCTTAGGAACCCGTTGCCAGGAAAGTGGACAGAGAGCAAGTGCTTCTCCTTTAGGCTGCCTCTGGGCTCTCCCGGGTGGTCTGCCTCCTTTCTCCGGGGCCGAGTAGGCGGCTGCCCAGGCTGTGGGCGACACATCCGCAGGCCAGAGGAGAGGCCTTTTCTTGGGTCTTCTCTTTGGAACGAGGAAACCTTTCCTGGGACCCCGCTGCCGGCAGACCTCCCTCCAGCCTCGTTGGCCGGGGGCAGCTCCAGGCAGGATGGGCTTGTCCTGAGGCTGCGGCCGGCCCACTTCCCGCTGGGCTCTCCGGGGGCGGACAGCTGAGGGGGTCTGTGAGCAGCCGGCCTCGGCCTTCTGCGGACATAGTGTCTTAAGGATTCAGTAGTAGCCAGGGGAAAGGATTTCTTACTTTGGGGGTTGATGTCACTTTGAAAATGGGCTTTTAGAAGCATCTGGTTATGTTGGACATAATCACGTCAACTTAGCTCAAAAACTTCAAACGATAAAATTGCCTTTTGCTTTCAAAGCTATCGTCAGATGAAACGGGTATTAAAAGTGATTTGAAATTAAAGCTTTTACATTTTTCCAGACGATCTCCTTCAGTTTACTTTGCATTTGAAGCCGAACGAACCGTTAGAGGGAAGGAAACTTGCCTTCGTTTCTCGCAGGCCAGACCGTGAGGGGGCGGGAGGCGGCGGCAAGAGCAGCTCCGTCCGCGGGGCCCGGCAGCCCTCTGGCTCGCGGCTGCGCGCGGGGCCGGCCCTCCCATCTCCGTGCTGGCGGCAGCAGGCCCCTGCGCTGGCCCCTGCCCATCTCTCCGGACCCTTGGGCCCCCTGAGAGCGAGGGTGCGGCCCCGGGACCCCCCGAGGGCAAGCTCTGTGCCGTGGCTCTTGTGCGGGAGGTGAGGGGCGCTGGCCCACACGCTGCCACCGGGGCGACTGGCCTTTCGCAGCTTGGCCTGGCCCCGGGGGAGGCGCCGGAGCTGTCACCCCGTCCTGCAGAGGAGAGCTTGGGCTCAGAGGGCCGGAGGGCTCAGGTGAGAAGGGAGGCCAGGCAGCTCCCGCCACGCTCACGTGGGACAGATGGCTGGCAGGGACCCTGTGACGCGAGGCCCTTCCTGACCAGCACGGAGAGGGCTTGTGTGTCCGGCGTCCTTCACGCTGGCCGGCTGTCGGGCAGCTGCGGGTCCCGTGGGCAGGAAGTGACGTGGCCGTTAGCTGTGGCCTTCTGCGTGGAGGGCCAGGAGCCGCCTTCATTCCTGCACATCCTCACAGGCGGTGAGCAGGAACTGAGGGCAGCTGGGAAGAGGCAGTTGGCTAGAGGGCGAGCACGAGGGGTCCGGCAGGCCCTGGCACGGGGAGGGCGCTCCCGCTCACAGAGAGCAGGGGACCCAGCGCCCCGAAGCCGTGGCCCCAGGCGGGAGAGTAGGCCCCGTGGGTTTGGTCTCCAGGCATTTCTTCTGGTCTGTCCCTTGCCGGGTCCTTCCGTGGTGGCCTCCGCTCAGGCACTCCAGCTCATTCAGGGAAGGATCTGTGCTACGCCTCGCCTGGGAAGGTGAGGGGAGAGCAGACTCGAGCTGCCGGCCGGCCGCCCCCTGGAGCGGAGCTGAGCGTCCCCACGCCTCGCTGCCGGTGCCCCTGGTTCTGCAATGCCATCCGCCTGCCTGGGATTTGTACCTTCCTCGATGTTTGTGCCCACAGACTTCTGGAGGCTGCAAGGCGAGTGGTGGCTGGGGCTTCAGGCGGGAACCTTCCAGAGCCTTCCAGGTAGCAGGGGGGGCGGGGGCGTGTTCTTCTTGTGGAGGGTAGGGATGAACGTCCGTGCTAGCTTTGTGCACGATTACCCGAGTTCTGAGCTCTGACTTCCTCCTGTCAGAGTGGGGCTCGTGTCTGTCATGAGGCTCGTTCTGAGGGCGCAGCGAGATGTGGTCTGTGCCCCGTGGCCGGTAGCGCCCCAGAGACGCCGGTGGCGGGAGCTGTCTTTCTGAGAACCCTCTGTGCTGTGGGGCCAGGAGGCGGGCACGGGTCTGTTCGGCAGCGCAGGGCGGCCGTGGGGCGTCCTTTCCCTCACGGGGGTGTTGGGAGCCCTCAGGCCAGGCTGCCTGCCTCGTCCCTTTCATGGTCGTGCCCGGACACTCCAGGGCCCCCTCCGCCGCTGCTGACAGGAGCTTGATTACAGCACAGGGACCTTTGCCTTTTGTCACTGCGGCCGCGGATTCAGCGTTGGTTCTTGGAGCCTGGGGGCTGATGCGCTTCCGCCCCCCTGCTGTGTGCTGGGGCAGTGGTGACCTGGAGCATCTGGGTGCGTCCTCTGTCCCCGTGCTCCGCATAGGGCTCGCCCGCTGCTGCCGTGCCCCGCCTTGGTCCTCGCCGGAGGACCTCCACAAGGGCCCAGCACCCCGTCCGCGCCCTGCTCGCTGCTCGCAGCCGGCTTCTGGAGCCAGGCCGTGGACGGGAGGCTGCACTCCTTCGAGGCCCGGACCCTGGCCAGGCTGGCGTCTGTCAGACTGCGACATGCTCCGAGGGCGTCTTGAACGAGAAGTGGGAGATGAGGGGCAGCCCTTTTGGGGCCGTGCCATCTGGGGTTGCCGTGCTTTGCCGGAAACGAGGCCTCACGCTGGACAGTGGGTGACAGAGCGGAGCCAGGCTCTGGGGTGCGGGTTCCCCTCCCGTACGCATGGTGGCGGCGGGAGCGTCTCCGTGCTCAGTGCCGTGCACATGCGTCTCCCCCGAAAGTCCGCGGCGGGTGTGGCCATGTCCTCTGCGCGGCAGAGACGCCTGAGCCCCCGGGAGACAGCTGTGGCGTCGCCGCGTGGCTTACCTGAGCGTGGAGCCTGCGCCCCTGCCAAGTGCTTGACGTGGCTGCAGAGGGGCCGCTTCTCACTCATTTCTCTGCTGCGGTGGAGACGTGGCTCGTGGGCCCTCCGTGCGGCGCAGGGCCGGCCCGCCGTCCTTGGTGAGGACTTAAGGGAGAACCCGCCGTATAGGGGAAAGGAGAGAAAAGCAGGTCCGGGGGAGCTCTTCGCATCTTTGTCTGCCCCTGGCCCTCGAGAACCAGCCCCGCACCCCCCGCTCTGCACGCTGCTGCTGGTGGGCCTGCGGCTTCGGGCGGATGAGTCCCCGGGGCTCCGGGCTGCCCCGTCACTGCAGGCTGAAGCTCGCATTTGCCTCCTCTGGGTGAGAGCTGCCTCACAAGAGCCCTTGGTCTCGGGGGTCGGGGCTCGCGAGCCCTGACACTCCTGAGGTCCCAGTCTGGCCGTGGACTGCCCGCGGGTCTTCCCTTGCTGCCGCCACCGCGGCGAGCGTCCCGGGCCATGACTGGGGACGCCTGGGGCCCCCGGCAGCCCTTGGAAGAGGCCGCTGCTTGGTGAAGGGGGCTCGGCTGAATGGTGGGAGGGCAGTCCTTGCCCACGCCGCCCATCCCCGTCTCCGAGAGGTGGTGCCCTTGGTCGTGCGTCTTCCCGGCAGCCGGCAGGTTGATGGGTTCTCTGTCATCCCCGAGGGGGAGTTAAGATCAGTGTACGGGTCATAATTCTTCATGTGGCTCTTTTCCTGCTGTTGGTCGACAGCATTTAGGCTGTCCTCGCAAACCATCTGGAGTATGAGTAGGCCTTGTCACCTCTGTCATCCTGTGTCTGTGTGAGTTATGGTGCTCAAGCCGTCCCGAGGCCAGCAAGGCCAGTGACGGCCACAGAAGACTCATGATGACCAAGGACCTGTTCTCTGTGCGTCGGGGTGGAGTTCACGCTGCGCTTGGAGCGCCAGCGGGTCTCTGGCTCTAGCTCAGGCTGGCCTGCCACCGAGTCGTTGTGTGTCCTTGGACAGAAGAATCAGCCTCTGCCTCACCTGTCAGGACGGGGATGGTGATAACCGTCCCGGGACCGTTGAGCGCTAAGGAAGGAGCTCTGTCAGCATCGGATAC